TGTCTGTCTAGCTATCTATCAATTCTGTATTTTATAATCACGCTATCTGTATCATATCAGTCAAAGTTCTGATTGAATGTAATATGTGGACCTAATTCATACGAGAGAGAAGACAAAATAACTATCCTATAATAAAAGCGGTGTTTGGTAGTCAAATCTTTTTTTTAAAAATGTTTTATTTATTTATTCATGAGAGTCAGAGAGAGAGGCAGAGGCAGAGGGAGAAGCAGGCTCCCCGCCTAGCAGGGAGCCCGATGCGGGACTCGATCCCAGGACCCTGGGATCATGACCTGAGCCGAAGGCAGACGCTTAACCATCTGAGCCACCCAGGTGCCCTGGTAGTCAAATCTTGATACAAGAGCCTTTGTGGAGAAAGACTAGGAACTACTCATTCTAAATGTTATGCTTTGACCAGTGAGTAAGTCCGAAGCCCAAATTAGGAAGTGACTTACTTGAGGCCACCCAGAGAGGGAGAAACCAAGCTTACATTCAGTTCATAGAATGACATAATGTTGTCGGAGGGGCCTTAGAGACCCCCGGTATTTGCTCAAGGCCACCACTCCTTGTCTTAACCCCTCTCTTAATGCACGATCACAATAACCTGTTGATGGGTCCGTCCCCCCAGGCCCACCCACCAGCTCCGTCCTGTCCGGGGTGCTTCTTGAGGCCCGAGGCTGTGTCTTTCTATGACACATCTCCCTCCGCCGTCACCCCCTCTTCCTCACACAGCGCCCGCCCACAACACATTTCCCTAAAAGGCTCCTGAACGTGGAAATGTGAGTAAAGCACCACTTTAACAGATGGGGAGACTACATTTCAGAGGAGGGAAGGGACCCACCTAGGGTCCTGCAGCAAGGCTCAGGGGGAGGGCCCGTCGTAGGATCTCCTGTGTCTCAGTGAAGTCTTCTTTCCTCCCCTCCTGGGCTGGAAAGGGGGGCAGACATTTGCCTTCTCTCATTTCCCCCAAAAGCCACAGGTAAAGGTGTTTATGGCTTGGCAGCTAACCAAGACCACAAGTACTTCAATAGGTCAGAGTCTGACCTTGTCAAATGTCGTTGTCGTTGTTTTTCATGTTTAAATGGTGTTAACAATCCTGCTTTCTACTATAATTTGAAAACTCTTGGCACCTCCATGCCAAGGACATTATAAACTGACCCCCAAATTCGGGCAATGAAACACAGACCCACCTAGCTGGCCACCTGGCTTCAAGGGTAAAAGTAACTTTACCATAGCTATTTCCCAAAATTGTATTATAACAATAATTATTCACATCTGTGAAAAGCATTTCTTCTTTGTAGAGCACTCGGAAAATATTTCCGAAACAAAATTATGCTCTCTCAAAATAAGTTAGTGCTGTACTTTGAAAGCAGGTGGATTTATGGTGTAGGAACTACCTATACCTCAATAAAGCTTAAAAGACCGTGAAAATCACAAGTGACTTTTATCTTCTTCCTGTGCTTTTCCCTATTTTCCAAGTTGTCCTTCATCGGAAGAAAAAACTAGAACAGTGCAGTGCATGGAGAAGGATGAATTAGCGCAAGGAGGGTGACCTCCCCTGGAGGCTCTGTGGCCTTTTGTAGTCTCCCGTGACAGGCAGGTGCTGAGACACAGCTGAGGGGAAGGGGACCGCTCCTCCCTCCCTATCGTGCGTGACTCTGGACAAATCACGTCACCCGACCTCCATTCTCTCCCCTGCAACTCGATCTGGAGGCTGCCTTGCCAAGCTCCCCAAGCTCTGGCAGCCCTCCGTGACAGATGTGTTAGGACGCCGTAACCGCGATGGCCCCACATATGTGACAGGTCGTGCTATTACCAACCTCCTCTGCCGCACTCTCGTCAAGGTCTCTACCAAATATTTCAAGGGTGCTTGGCTGGCTCAGTCGGAAGAGTCTGCGATGATCTCGGGGTCCTGAGTTTAAGCCCCATGTTGGGTGTAGATTACTAAAAACAAATGAAATTTCCAAATATTTTAAACATACAGAAAATAGAGAAAATTTTCAGGCTTGAGAAGGAGAAGGATTGCAGAGAACAGCTATGGACTGGCCACCCAGCTCTGTCAAATCTTGACCCTCTGCCATCTTTGCTTCAGATATTTTTAATTTCCTAAGAAATAAATCACCACAGATAGAATTAAATCTCCTGTGGGTCTCTTTCTGATCTCATTCCCAACTCTCCCTCCCAGAGGTAACCGCTAGTGTAAATTCAGTGACTTTGATTTCCCGCACACATTTTGACACTCTGTACCTGACTGTGTCTATATATATATATACTTGAATGTTTTGAGTGTTTTTAAAAACCTTTTTATATCACACTGTACCTATTCCACAACTTGATGCTGGTTTTTTTTTTTTTATTCTAGAAAATATCTGTGTTGAAGCTTATAGCCTTGGTTTATTTTTACACCCCGTATATCATTCCATTGTAGGAACAGATCACGATTTATCTATCTGGACAGCTGTGGATGGACAATTAATTAAGGTCTAAGTTTTCAGCATTATAGGCAGTGTGAGTGGAGTAGGGTCACTGCATGGCAGATATGGGCATCTTGGACTTTATTAGAGGTTGTCAACACCTGTCCAACGTAGCAGGAGACACTTACATCCCCATCAGTGGTGTATTAGGGTTCCACCCATGCCATGTGCTTAACACCCACCACTCACCCCACGATGACAGACTTCTCACTCTGCCTGTCTGGTGGATATGAAATGGTGTAGCCCGGCTCTTTTCGTTTGCATGTCTCACATGACTGGTGAGGCTGAACTTCTTTTCATATTTTTGGCCATTTAGATTCCCTCTTTTGTGAATTGCCCATTGATATCCTTAACCATTTATTTGTATTGTTATTTTTTTAGCAACTGGATTGTCTTTGTCTTGTTTGTCCCCACTTTCAAGCCACTCCTGCCAGATCCCAAAGCAAATTCAGATCATGGCACTTCCCACAGCTCTCTCTAGAAGATGCACGGCTTAGCTTGTCACCTTGCTCAGTGGCCCTGGTTTGCCTGTGGGCTGCAAAAATCGAGCTCAGCCCCAAAGTCAGCTCACCTTCTCTTCCAACCTCACCTTCCATTGCTTCCCTCCACACTCCTAACTCCAGCCCCATAAACAGCCTGCTCTGTCCCAGGCTTCCTGCACATACCATTCCCTCCCCCTGGAAGGCTCACCTCCCTATTTCCAGATTCTACCTACGTGCCACCTTTCCCATGATATTTATACTCTGTTCTCAATTCAAAGTTAGAGCTGCCTGTAAACAATCACTGGTGATGCTGTCTTTCTGGTGGCATTTCTTACTTCCTAGTGTGTAGAGCTTTAACAGCTCACTTTGCATACCTTTTTTTCCTTTACAAAAGTATCTGCTCCTTCATTATGCTATTTTAATCTTCATTCATAATCTGATTTTAACCTCATCTATGCAACTGCCTGTGAAATGGGGTAGTGTTCCTAAGTCCTCTGAACAGATGAGGAAACGGGGCCTAAAGGGGGACCAGCTCACCCAAGATCCCATAGGGATCCCAAGGCGGAGCTGGACTCGAAGCCAGGACTCTCCCAGCTCCACAGTCTAGATCACTGCACCAGGCCCCTCATATGTGTATGTGTGTGTTGTAGCTGCTTGTGTCCACACCTGATTCCCCCTGGAGACTGCGGGCCTCCTAGCTCCCACTCTAGTCCCCCGCCCAAGGGTGCCCTCAATGAGTATGTAATTTCTTGAAACTACAACAATCACAACACACCCACTGGGTGTCAGGGGCTGTGCAAATATTAACTCTGATCTTCACAGCAACTCTATTTCGATAAGGAAACTCAGGGTCCCACAGCCAGTAATTAGTGGAGCTGGCCTTTCAGACCCAGAGGTAAGCCCTTCCTCCCATCGGCTCCGCCCCTCGCATCCTAAAGGCAGAACCAGCCAGCTGGGAAATCATACCCCCAGGCTGGGAGGCAAAGGGCCAAGAGTGGGCAAATTGACAGTGAGCAAGGGAGGCTGGGATGGGGATGTCCACTGACCACACCCATGATGCACACACTGTCCAACCTCGCGGGGGTGTCTGCAGAATGGGATGGTAGCAGGTCAGAGCAGGGCTCGAGGGAGGGGTGGGCGGTTGTTTGCCAAGTGTTCTCCACCCCATCCGCACAGACAGTGAGTCTGGATAGGGACAAGTCTGCCCTTTCTCCCCTGTGAAAGGACGCCATCTGACTAGGGCCATGAGCGTTGCCTCCGTGGGCTATTCCTAGGACCCTGCATGTTGTCTTTCACCGTGTGCCAATTATTTATACGTTGTGTTTGTATATGTGGCATGCATTTGCGATTGCATCTTTGTGTTGTGTTGTGTGCGATATGTCGTTGGTGCACTTTCTCTCCTGTGTGTGTTACTGAGTTGTGGGTCAATGCCTGTTGGTCGTCTACCTTTCGCGTATGTTCTGTTGTGTGTCTATGCTGTGCACACTGTCTCCGCTTGTATCTATGCCTATATTCTGTAAATGTCTCTGTTGTGTGCCGTGTGTTGGGACCTTGGGTCCGTGCTGGGTGCGCTGTGTACGTTTCCACCTTCGGCTGGTGCTGTGCCGCCGTCCACGCGGCGAGCGCGGGAGGCCGTGTGTTTACGCAGGTGAGTCCCGTCCACCGCCCCGGCTCCGCGGCCCCGCGTGCAGTCGCTGCGCGTCCGCACCTCCCCGCTGCGCGTCTGGGCCAGCGGGAGGTCTGCGCCCCAGCCTACTGTATTTCCTCCGGCGGCGCGGGGCGGTGCTTCCGCGTGTGCCCGCGGCGTGGCCGGGTCGCAGCGGGCTCCGCGTCCCCGTGCTGTCGCGCCGCGTGCCTGCGCCCGGCGCGCGGGGCGGCGGGGATGCGCGCGCGCGGGGGGC